CCCCCGTTACCGGGTGATTATTTATTCCGGTTTGTTCCCCCTCCCCCGCACTTACCGGGTGATTATTTGTCGGTTTTTTCGGTTTATTTTCGGTCCTGAACGAGCTTCTCCCTCCCGCGTCCGCAGCGGAAGATCAGCCTCCTGACGTCACCACAACAAGGGCGGTACGTCACTGGGGGCGGGCTTAGTGGATGGGCGGGACCGTGGTTTAGTGGGTGGGGGCGTGGCTAGGGTGCTGGACGGTTTAGAAGGGGGGGCGGGTCTAGGCAGACAGGCGGACGTTAGGGGGCGTGGTTTGGTGGATGGGCGGGGCTGAAGGGGTGGGGGTCAATGACATGACAAACTCTCTTAAAGGGGTATCACCTCCAACTATCTATTTGAAACCATTATTAAACAGATAAATAACATATCTATTATGCAGGCATGTAGCTAACATCATCCACAATATTAATTTATCATGGAAAAACGAAGCAATGCTTACATCGTCTTCATTGACAATGGTCATTCTCTCAAGTAGATTGGCTGTTGTTGCCCCGTGATGCTGCTGTTGGCTCCTCCATGGGTTTGGCCAACCTTGGCTCAGAGGCACAAGGCTCTGGTTCCATCTGGACTGACTCAGTGGTTTGAGGGACCTCCCCCCATTGGTGAGGGGCAGAGACCAGCTGGTCTGCGTGTCTCCTTCAGACCAGTTCATCCCTAACCTGCACCATGTATGACAATGGCCCTGTTTGAGGCACCACCACCACTGGTGTATAATTCGGGACCATCACAGTCTCTCCTGTTTGGAATATCCTCGACTGTGAAGTTTCCACCCTTCCGACCATCTGTTCTTCTTGATTCCGCTCTACCACCTCTCTGGACCCTTCTGGCTGTAATAAGTCAAACAAGGTTCTCAGCTGGTGGTTGTACATTACTGACGCCAGCAAGGCTCAGTGCTGGGTTAACTGTTGTTCATCATTTATATAAACAATTTGGATGAGAATATAGGAGGTGTAGTTAGTAAGTTTGTGGATTACACCAAAATTGGATTTGTAGTGGACAGTGAAAAAGGTTATCAAAGAGTACAATGGGATTTTGATCAAATGGGCCAGTGGACTGAGGAACAGCAGATGGAGTTTAATTTAGATAAATGTGAGAAGTTGCATTTTGGTGAGACAAACCAGGGCAGGATTGACACAGTTAATGATAGGGCCTGGGGAGTGTTGTTGATAAGGGAAACCTAGGAGTGCAGGTACATAGTTCCTTGAAAGTGGCGTCACAGGTAGACAGGGTGGTGAAGAAGGCATTTGGCACACTTGCCTTTATCGGTTGGAGCATTAAGTACAGGAGCTGGGACGTCATGTTACAGCTGTACAAGACGTTGGTAAGGCCACCATTTGGAGTGCTGTGTACAATTCTCATCACCCTGCTGTAGGAAGGATGGTATTAAACTGGAAAAGGTGCAATAAAGATTTACCAGGATGTTACTGAGACTGGAGGGTTTGAGTTATAAGGAGAGGTTGGATAGGTTGGGACGTTTTCTCGCTGAGTGTAAGAGGCTGAGGCATGATCTTATAGAGGTTTATAAAATCGTGAGGGGCATGGATAAAATGAAATGTCAAGGACTTTCTCCCCAGGGTAGGGGAGTCCAAAATTAGAGAGCATAGGTTTAAGGTGAGAGGGGAAAGGTTTAAAAGGGATCTGGGGGGGTAACTGTTTCACGCAGTGGGTGGTGCGTGTATGGAAAAGCTGCCAGAGGAAGTGTTAGAGCCTGGTACAATGACAACATTTAAAAGACGTTAGGACAGATACATGGATAGGAACGTTTTAGAGGGGTATGGGCCAAATGCAGGCAAATGGGACAAGTTCAATTTAGGAAACCTGGTCAGCATGGACATGTTGGGCTGAAGGGTCTGCTTCTGTGTTATATGACTCTATGACTCCCAAAAATAATTTCAATTGAGGCGTGTTCTCTATTCTAGGGGCTTTCATGGTCACCTCTGTCTTTTTTTGAGTAGGACAGTCCCCTGTGTGTCAGTAATGTCATCAGCAGCTGGGACTCCTTCATGACCCCCATCTGCAAATAGGCCTGTGACAGATCCATTTTGGAGACTTTCTAATTCCAGCCAGTCCACTGAATAAGGTCCTCAATGCATGGTATTGATTCACACACAGGCCTGAGTTGATTGTGACCTTAAAGTCACCACAAATTCTCACTGCACCATGTGTTTTCATAACTAGATTGGAGTGGCCCATTCACTGGTAGGTACTGGTTCACCAGTTATTCCAGTTCTGCCTCCAAGTTAGGTCAGATGGTGTACAGTACTGGACGTACCTTCAGACTCCAAGGACATACCTCTGACTTCAGCTGTAATTTAATTACAACTCCTTTTATTTCCCCCAGGGTTTCTTTGAAAACATCTTTGTACTTATCCAGGATCTCTGGCAAACTCACAGAATCCCTCCAGGGCAGAAAGGGGCCATTTGGCTCATTGAGACTGCACCATCCCCTGAAGACTATCCCACAGTATCCCCACAGCCCTGCGTTTCTCATGGATAACCCACCCAACCTGCACATTCCAGCGGGCAATTTCCCATGGCCAATCCACCCTAACCTGCACAGCTTTAGACTGTGGGAGGAAACCGGAGCACCCAGAGGAAACTCACACAGACACAGGGAGAATGTACAAACTCCACACAGAGACAGTCACCCGAGGGTAGAATTGAACTCAGGTCCCTGGCACTGTGAGGCAGCAGTGCTAACCACTGAGCCACCCACATGTTTGAATCCACCAGCCTAGAACTTCAACCTAAATTTTTGTAACAAGGAGTATCTGAATAATGCAGGGTATTTATCTTTTATTATGTAAGGTGGCAATTCTGCATACCAGTCCCTTGACTGTACTTTCTCCAGGACATAGCCCTTCAGTGGTGCCCCTTGGTCCATGTATGTCCATGGTACAATCTTAGGCAGGCTTCAATGGTAGTGCCCTCAACGTCTCCCTGTAGATTGATTTGGGAATCAGAGACACCACTGTACTTGTATCCACTTCCACCTTTACTGTCTTCCCTTCTAATTTGGAAAGACCCCAGAAACGATCAGTTTCACCCCATACCAACAGAATGTTTAACTGAAACTGTGCTGACTCTGGGCTTTCTGTTTGTCCCACAGACCTGGCTGACCCCCAGGCTACTCCCTGGCTCGTGGCATGTACCTTACACCTTGTCCTCAGGATTGTTTCTTTCTGACTCCCCTTCTCTTGTTTGGGACGTACCTGGCAATTTCAGGCAATATGGCTCACTCACTTACATCTGTGACACTGGGCTTCTTGAGCCCAACATGTTGACTCCTTGTGGCCAGTCTTGCCATGCTGGCGGTATTCTATGGCCGATACCGCACTCTGCTGGGTTTCCATTGCTTGATGCACCTCGGCATTGTCATCTTTGCTGGCGGCCAACTCCGTCAAATAACAATTTCGAAAGCTGCCTTGAAATCCAGATCTCTCCAGGTTAGCAGTGTCTGTTGGATGGCTTTGTGTCAGAGGCCACAAACTAAATAGTTATGCAAGGCATCTTGGAGGAATCTGCCTCCTCCCCACCTTGAATTCACATTGTTCCAATAATCTCTTTAAGGTGACCACAAATTGGGCAATGGCCCCTCTTTTGTGCTGTACCCGTTTGTTAAAATGGAAACAGTCCATCAGCAGCAGCTTGAGTATGAAGTAATTTCCTAACACTTTGCAAAGCTCTTGGCATGTCCTCTCCACAGGTTTCTCTTGTTGCACCAGGCTCCTTAGAATCGCACAGATCTTGCTCCTGATGGTACTGCAGAAACCCATACCCATGACGTCCTCAGCCACTGTGTTTGTCTTTAAGAATAAATTAAAGTGTTCTGTGTGCAAAGCCCAATTTTTGACTCTTCATCAAATGGTCCCATTTCCCCCATTTGGCTGGCCATTTTGTTTTCCTGTCCCTCCAGTCTATTGGTCTTTCACAGTCTGAGTCTCCTTGGTGAACACTCCTGGCTGCCATTCCCTCACTGGCTTTGCTAGCGTACTGTTCCTCCCTGACATTGCTCACAGCCCGAGTCTGTTCACAACTACTGCCACTGGCTCACTCCCCAGTGAGTACCCTCTTTCCTGACATTGCCCACAGCCTGAGTTCACTCATAACCAACTCTCTTGACGTTACCTCCTTAATCCTGCACCATCTCCTCTGGACAGAACAAAAACGGTGTTTGCACACAGTTTGTGAGCTGGATCCCATTCTCGTCGCCATTTGTTATGTTGGTGCTTCCTTTGGAACCAGTAATTATGAAATATACCAGGCACACAAATAGTAAACCTGAACAGGAACACTATTGACAATGCTCACACCTCCACAGCCTGTTCTAGACTGATGTGGAGGTGCTGGTGTTGGACTGGGGTGGACAAGGTCAGAAATCACACAAAACCAGGTTATAGTCCAACAGGTTTATTTGAAAACAGAAGCTTTCAGAGTCTTACTCCTTCTTCAGGTGTTAGTGAGAAAGGTAGCATCAGACACAGAATTTATAAGTAAAAAATCAAAGGGTCACTCTACCGATGAAGATGTACTAAACAAACTGAAGATGCTGTTAAATCTTTAATCAGTTAGAAGTTTTTAATTGATAAATGTGTATATGTAAATCCCCAAATTTCTTTGAAGTCACTGCCCTGAGAGAACTAAAGGTTTTATAAGTGTAAAGAAGAGGTGACGTTTTAGGTCAGAGAATGCATGTTAGGTGTGAGACCCTGTTTAGAATCTGTCTGTGATTTGGTTTGGAGTCAGACTGGTTTTATTTTTAAAGTAGGAATTTATAAAACACCACATTGACTGTCTATAATTTGAGTGCTTTTGAACAAAATAGACTACATCTGCAAATACAAATTAACCAGTTGGACTATAACCTGGAGTGGTGTAATTTCTGACCTTGTTCTAGACTGAACACAGGCGCTGCCTCTCCAGGTCACCTGACCAGATCTCCTAAAGTGGCAGCACTCCCAACTACATACATAACAAGCCCCTGGTCAGGAGCCAGGCACAACATTGTTGTTAAGCAGTTATCCGTGCAATTAGAACCATCTGCTCTGTGGTGTCTGCTTTTTGCTCTCACTGCACCAGGGAAAGCAACATTGTACACAATGCACTGTGCTCCTGGAAAGACAACTTTTAAAACTGTAGCCA